CAACCCTCCCCCCTGCTCCCTGTCTCTTGACTACCCCCTCCAGAACCTCCCTGCCGCTTCTCTGGCCCCCTGGCCCCCTTACTGTGCTGCAGAGCGGCACACTCGACAGCGGGGGAGGGGAGCAGGGTCGGAGCTCCAGACTGCCAGAGGCCCGAGGTGAACGGCCGGCGATCTGCGAATGCAGGGAGGGGGAGGGAGGGAGAGAGAGGAGGGGACTGGTCTCAAGTTGCAGGGGAGAGGAGGGGGGAAGTGGAGGAAGGGCTCAGGCTGCCAGAGCCCTGTGTGAGTGGCACGATCCGGCCGGCTGCCCTGTAAGCCACGCATGCTCTGCATGGGGGGAAATCCGGACATTGACAAATTCCCCCCGGACGCTATTTTTAACTCAAAAAAGCCGGACATGTCTGGGGGAATCTGGCCGAATGGTAACCCTAGAGTGAAGCATTCAGTCAGAAACATACAGGAGTTCTAAATTATTTAAAAAGTAAATCTTATCTTGTTCACTTGAAGACCTGCCATCATATGTGCCCTGTAAGATACACGGTTGGACGGCCACCCAGGAGAGATTCAAGTGGCGCACAGGTGACTAGCAGAGCCACACCCACCCACCGGCTGAGTGTGTTCAGGTGCCCCTCCACCCCGCTGCTTTGCAGCCACGTTGCTCCTGCAGCTGCTCCCAGGACCGTCCTGGGGGCTGTGCAGAGTGGGGGGGAGGAAGGAAGGTACTGATGTCAGCATGTCCCTCTGCCCCTGTACCCCATCTCCACAGAGCAAGGTAGAGGGGACAGGGCTCAGGACTCATAGCAGCTCTGAGGTCTGAACAAGCCTTCTGATGAGTGAGTGCCTTAAAGAGACAGAGACTTCCCCAGCAGCCAGCACACACAATCTGTCAGTCTGACACACACACACTCTCTCTGTCTCTCCCACTCCACATGTACCCCCTCTCCATAGAGCAGGGGAGGGGGGGGGGACAAATGGTTCAGGAGGCAGGGCTGGCTCCAGCATTTCTGCCGCCCCAAGCAAAAAACAAAACAAAACAAAACAAAAGCTGCGATCGGCGGTGGCAGTTCAGGGGCAGATCCTTCGCTCCCAGAAGGAGTGAGGGCCCTACCGCCCCCGAATTGCTGCAGGTGCCGCCCCGCTCCCTTGGCCACCCCAAGCACCGGCTTGTTAAGCTGGTGCCTGGAGCCAGCCCTGTCAGGAGGAGCTTTCAGTGAGTGCCTTAAAGAGACAGCAAATGGGTGTCTCTCAGAAACTTCCCCAGCAGCCAGCGTGTGTGTACACACACTGTGTCACACACCTCTCAACACTGTTACTTCTTGGTACTTCCTGCAATGCACATATATTCTCTGTAATTTTATTCTTTCAAAGTGTGTCAGTTTAGTTTTTTGACTGGTCTATGCATTTCATAATTTTTATTTCTCTTACACTTTAATTCTTTGAGTAGTGAGTTCTAAAATGCCTAACTTGTCCTGGATGGAGTAATTATCCTTATTGGTAACTTTTAAAAATATATTTATCTAGGTTTTTTGTCTCCACTGGAGGCGCACATCCTCACAGTACCTTGGTGAACATAATTTATTCCACACATGGGTGGAAAAAATTAAGAGGGAACATTGCTGCTATCTAATCCTATGTTATGTGCCATAAATTCTGGGATTGCTGAACTGGCAGGAGATTGGCACTAAAGGGTTAGTCCTTTCAGCTGATTGCTGGAAGAGAACACAGCTTAAAAATTCTTTTGGCAATCTTGAGCTCTCAATATGCTAAAACTGCCTGAATCACAGTTTGACCAACAAAGACAAACAAGTAAGCCAAGCAGGTAACAAACTGCACTATACACATTGTGACTTTTTTTTGTGTAAACCAGGGAAAACTGTGCTATTGATACTTCTTACCCTTACAAAAATTGCTGATTTTTCTTTTTTGGTTTTAACAGACAAAATTAAAAGCAACACCTCATTCCTAAAAAGTATTGTCCAAAAAGACAAATAGGTGGGGGGGGGGGGGAAGGAAAAAAATTAACAAAAACGTGAATAATCTCATGGATATTACTGCTTGTATTGGGCTGGAGAACAACTTATTCTGAGAGTAGGCACATTAATTTCAATGGGACTGCTTACTGAGTAAGTTACCATTTGGCAGAATCAGATCCATTGATATCCAACTTAGTTTTACACAGTGCCTGATATTCTCTAGCTTCCTGACCTGCTTTACACAGTAATAACGGAGCAGCAACAGTGCAGTAATTGGTAAAAGAACAGAAATTATATGCTTAAAAGCAATCTGAATTATTTTATTTTGGATTTTTGTGAATAAAAAGCTGTTTTCCCTATTGACACAGCTGCATACATGTAATTGTCACACTAAGTGTATATACAGTTAACATCACTGCTGAATTACCAATAGCAACAAATATTCTAAGGTACTTTTACTGGAAGCACAGTTATGCTGTATTCTATTCAAAAGGCCCACTTCTGTGCTGTCCTGAGTTTCCTTCAACTTCCATGAACCTCCATAGGTTCAGCACCTTGCATGAGTGAGCATGATTTGAGCTGCTCAAGTTCCTTTGCATTAATATTTTCCATATTCCACACTTTCCCCTACTTAAGATCAGAGTGCATGCAGAAACCAAAACGAACAATGGACAGTCCTGTGAATTGCTTCTCTGTACAGGATGTAGGGTGGAGTCCTAAGGAGCTTGTGTAATCCATCTGGAAGTCCAAAACCACACTCTAAAAACAAACTTTTTCTTAATGAAGTCACACAATAAGGAGGCATTACGTTTGTTTAGTGAAATACAGCCTTATAAACTATCAGGAACAATGTATGCTCTAAAACATTTAAGATTTTAAATCATTAGACTGTACATGTTGTGCCCTAAATTACAGGAAATGAACTTTAATAATAAGGGAAAGGCTTTTTTCCCCTTTTTAAACCTCTAAGACCTGTGTTCAGTGTCTTTTTAATACATCCATTCCTCACACACCTAAAGCAGACCAGGGAGCTGCTATTCCTAATGTTGGTGTTGGGAGTTATTCCTTTTTTAGTTTAAAAACACTAAACCCCAATTATATATCCTTGCTGGTACAGTAAACAGGACATGGTTTTCAAACACCGTTTTAAGATGTACTTTTGTATGGTAATTTTAAAAGCAACCTAAATATTTTATTAGGGGCAAATCCTGCCCCCTGCTCTGAGAATGTGGAGGGCCCTCTTGCACCAGAACTAGTTTGGTTGGCAACCCTCCAGGATTGGCCTGGAGTCTCCCAGTGACTACTGAAAACAATCCAAGAGGTTTTAATAGACTATTTTAAGAAAATGACATTGTCACATAGGGAAAAAACATCTCCTGGAATAGATTCAGTCAGAGTTGGCAACCCTATTTGCAACAGGTGGAGCAAGACTTAGGGAGGCTATGAAAGGATGTAGAGTCCTGTGCAATGTGAATCCAGCATATGACCATTGCTCCCACTGAAGCAGAGGAGTGGACAATGCAGCACCTGCATAGGAGGCAGCATACAGCCCATTGCTCCATTTCACAGCATTCCACCCTCAGAAGTTGAAGCAGACTTTTGTTTTATTTCAAAAACATTTCATTCATCTCTAAAAATGTTGTCTTTGTTGATGAGGAGGAAGTTTTGCTGAGCTTTGGAAAATAATGATCAAAAAGGCACACATATTTAGGGCTCTACCAAATTCTCAGTCATGAAAAACACATCAAGAACTGTGAAATCTAGTTTTGTGTGTGCTTTTACCCTGTACTATACAGATTTCACAGGGGAGACTAGTGTTTCTTAAACTGGGGGTCCTGACCCAAAAGGGAGTTGCAGGGGGCGTTGAAGATTGAAACACTTACCTCTGCACTACCTTCAGTGGAAGCAGGAGAGCGGCACCTGGTGGCCGGGCACCCAGCTCTGAAGGCAGGGCCCTGCCAGCAGCAGCACAGAAGTAAGAGTGGCAATACCATACCAAACCATCCCATCCTTACTTTTGCAGCTGCCGCTCTCTAGCTGCCCAACTGTGAAAGCAGTGCCACCACCACCACCACTGTAGAAGTAATAGTAGCAATACCACAACCCCCCCCCCCCAATGATCTTGCAACCCCCACAACTCCTTTTTGGGTCAGGACCTTTACAATTACACCACCATGAAATTTCAGATTTAAATAGCTGAAATCATGAAATTTACTATTTTTAAAATCCTGTGACTGTGAAATTGACCAAAATGGACTATGAATTTGGTAGGGCATAATTATATTGTACAGGTAATGTTTCCAGGGCCTGAATCAAGTATAAATGAAGTTAATGGAAGTGTTTTCATTCACATCAGTGGGCTTTGTATCAAGTCTCGAATAAACATACCTCCTTGTGAATAGAAAAGGTCATCCCTGCAGTGGTCGGAGGGTTTGTCTCATTACAGTCCTGGAGGGGGGGGGGGAAGGGAAGAAGAGGGCAAGTAAAACTAGTCCAAGCAGCCACTTAATTGACAAAATATCAGTTTTATTTTTTCTTCTTTTAAATGTTCAGTCTATTGCTAGCATTATTTGCATGAAAACATGGTCTTTAAGGAATTCACCTGCTTCTTCTGCATATTTTTATTGACATTTTAATTGCCTGTTTGTGTGATCACAATAGTTGCTGCAGAGAAGCTTCTGGTATTTAAGGACTTCTGTTACAATCTGTCCCTAGTGATTTGTGGTACAAGTACAAAATACAGAACTAATAAATACAGTTAAAATATAGTACTGTTACAGAAATTGTAAGATTTTATTTCTTCTAAATTAAAAAAAAACAGTCAATAACAGCTCAGATTGTACTAAAGCACATTGTTAATTTTTAAATAGCCGCACCGATGGAATTTCTAGTATCAAATCACCAAAAGGATTGCTTTTGTAATGATAAGGCTTGTAATGCATTACCTTCACTATCATTTTCACTGGTAGGTGAGTTTAATGTTGAGGCTTTCATTATGATGGTATTTTCCATGCTCACAACTTTCTGAAGAATTCTGCTTTGGAGCTGAAAACTTTGTTCTGTTCCAAGAAGTTGTTTTTTTTTTTTTTTTTTTTTTTAAAAGGTTGGAGAGGAAATCCCTTCAGCCATTGGGCAGGTGGGGGGGGGGCGAGGGGGGAGAGACGGGGACGGACAAAAACACAAAAAACACTTTTCTAGCATGTTAAGGTCTATTCCCCTTCCCCCCCTACTAATAAAAACTTCTAAGATGGCTGAGGAACCTCTCAAAAGTTTATTTGTGATCCTTTCCAGTTTTGTATAATTGAGTTTGATTAGCATATGCTCTATTCCATTATCCAAGATATGAATTAAAGTACTCTAATATTAGAGGCAGAACAGAGCCCTGCTATATACTTCATTCAGCATCACCTCACAATCTGACAATTGGAAAGTATTACAAGACAAGCTAAACAATGTAGAATATATGTTTCAACTTAGTTATGAACTTGTCAGTAATCCTATGCTGTGCAGGGTTGGTACTTATGTGTATGGGAAAGCTGCAAGGAAAACCCAAAGGCCGAAGGAAGTGAAGTTTATGATTCAATAGGTGATATTCTTCCCTCAGAGATAGTATTGAACCAATGCATGAGCACACCATTAGCTACCTGAGATGCTGTCTTTCTGATGAGATGCAAAATCTGAAGCCCCATGCACAGGCAGGCAGAGGACAGACCACTGGATTGGGACTCAAGAAACCTGGGCTCTATTTCCAGCTCAGCCACTGACCTACTGGGTGACACTGGGCAAGTCACTGCATCTCCCCGTGCATCACTTCCTATTTTACAGATAGAGTGAGAATGATCCTTACCTCCTTCATAAAGGGCTTTGAAATCTACAGATGAAAAGCACTATAAAAAGAGAACTAGGTTTAATTCCATAAGCTAGTTAATACATAAAAATAAGTTGTCCTGGCCAAATTCCAACTTACAGTCTATCTACTAAGAAGTCTCCCTGCACTTTCATTTGGACATGATTCTTTTCTAAACTATGCGCTGTTAAACAGCTGCAATATTTCACCCCCAGAGGTGGCTGTACTGCAGTGACTGGTGAAATGATTCCTCTCTATGGACTGAGTCAGTTTGTGATCTTTACACATGAAAGGAGTATTGTTAACCCAAATCACTTTCAGACACATTCGCAGGAGTAAAGCGGTTAACAATAAAGCAGAACTTTTCAGTGTGCATATGTCTCCACCCAAGATTTATGGGAGTTACTTTGGCACACAGAGCAAAGACTGTACATAACAATGACTGGACTAGAACGAGATACAAACCAACTCCCAGCCAAAAGGAACAATGAAAAAGAGTTCAGTTGACATAAACCACAAGGAATTAATTCCATGCAGCTTACTTCTATTTTTGTTTGAATATGGTGTTCAAACTTCTCTAAAACTTCAGAATTTTTTAATTCTAAACAACCCCACTGCTAGCATTATTGATAACTTAAAAATACTGGAATTACAATAAAAATTTGCTATAAAAGTAAAGCTAACTCCATCAGTAAGTTCATTGTTTTAACTGATTAAACAAGATCATTCTGGAAAGCATTCATGGTGTATTGTGTTTAAAAAGTGTGTATGCAAAGTCAAGTTTTACTCATCTCTACATATATTACACTAAAAAAAAATTATGTTAAGATTGCAAAGTCAAGCACTCAAAATGTTAGGAAGTACCAGAATTAATGTTGCCTGTATAACCTTAACACGGCCCCCTTGTACATACATGATCACCATACTATTTTTCCCTACAGGACCCAGACCTTATTCAGTGCACAAGATGGATGGTATTCACTTATTGAGCAGTGATTCAATATTTTTGTTTTATCCTCATTGAACAATGTATGGTCCTAGATCTTATTTACTGCACACTATTCTTATTCCTGCTCTGAGATGGAATTATTAATTTACTCAGTGTCTTTTCTATGCAGCTCATCATAACGGTATCCAAGTACATCACAAATATCTTCACAAAACCAGTGTGAGGTAAGACAGTATTATCCCTGTCTGACAGGATGGGGAGTTGAGGGTCAGAAAGATTAAGGTCAAAAGTATCCACTAATTTTGGGTGCCCAATTTGAGACACCCAGAACCTGGTCAGAGTACTTAACATATATAGCACTTCATCTATTCAAGCACAACTCCCACTGAAGTCAGTGGGAGCTGTGATTTTACAGTACCTCTGCAAATCCTGCCCCAGGGTCTCAAGTTGGGCACCAAGAAAATGAAGAACAGTTAGTGACCACGTGTGAAAATTTTGGTGTTTGTGTGACTTGCTTAACATTACACAGGAACTCTGTAGCAAAGGCAGGGATAAAATCCAGTTCTCCAAACCAGCATTCAAACACCTTAACCATGAGACCTTTTCTGTTCCTGCAATCCTTTGTCTCATTATTATACATCTTCCAGGTTCTGCAACAAATGAGGCAGGGGCCTCCTTTACTGCACAACTCAGATTCATCCCCAATGTAAGTCTACCCTTTCCACCGAATGAGGCAGGGGCCTTAGGGAAAAAACAGTATGGCATCACACAATTAAAAATTAAGGGGGGAGGGAAGAAGAGAGACACTACCTGTAGAACCTTAATTTCTGTCAATCTTCATTCTGGCATTTCCAAACTTTTGAGTGCTTGACTCTAACCTTCCATGTTTTTATTTCACATAGTTTGGTGTGTGTAATATCCTAGGTTTTTTTTTTTTAAAGCAGACTAAAATATAGAAATTCCATCATATGGCATTATATTGACACCTATATGGTTCACTGACAGAATTGGAACCTTAAGATCCACTGCACAGACCCCTGACTCTTGAGCTGAGTAACCAATAGCAGAAGGAGGTTGGCATCCTCCATGTGGACCAGCATTAGGGGGAGATGAGACATAAACCCACTAGTAAAGTGTTAGAGACAGTTGCTGACAGCAGGAGAATGGTGAAACTCAATACTAATGAAAAAAAGTGTTCCATAAGAGCTGCTTATGAGTAGATCTTAAAGTTCTTTACAAAGAAGATAATCTTGAGTTCCATTTCAGACTATCATCAAGGGGAGTATATTTTTGTGGTCACAACCTCTTCTCCTAGTTCCCCCAGGCTTGATCCCTTCTGCCCCATCCTCTCCAACTTGTCCCTGACACAGTCCTGTCTCCTTTTCAGTTGCTGTCTATAGTTAGGGCCCTACAAAAAAATGTATCATGGACCATGAAATAAGCCCTTCCCCATGAAATCTCATATCCCCCCAGCAGGGGGGCCCCCAGCTGCAAGTCCCCACTGGGCTGGAGGAAAAGAGAGAATAGGACTTGTCCCTCCCTTTCATGGCAGCTCCGGGGTGAGGGGAGAGATCGGACCCACCTCTGAGTGCCTCCCCCTGCTGTAGGAAGCGCCGGTGCTGGCAGCAGTCCTGAAGGTTCCTGCAGCTGGAGGAGGCTTGTGGATGTGGGTCCCATCTCCCCCTGCTGCTAGGAGCACCCCAGCCGGAGTCCCCACTGTCAGAAACGGTATACTGACGATAACGTGTAAACATCTGAAAACGTGAAATTGACCAATTTAAAAATCCTCTGGCAGTGAACCTGATCAAAATGGACTGTGAATTTGGTAAGGCCAGATCTATAATCCTTAGGCTTCCCCTTCTAGTCCCAGTCTTCTTGTCCGGACATTCCTGGTACCCTCCTCTTGATGACTCATCCAATCTATGTCTCCCCTCTCCTTGCACTGCCTCCCAGTCTCTCTGTCTGGGCTCCTAATGTATGGAGTTTTGTCATACATTAGGTGAGGTAAATAGGGGCATTCCTAGTTTGAGAATCCTGCCAGGGCTTAGGCATGAGCAACTCAGTGGCTTCAGAAAAGACGGTTACCAACCTTCCATAACTGTTGTTCTTCAAGATGTGTTGCTCATGTCCATTCCGTGTCAGGTGCCACGTGCACCATTGCTGGAGATTTTTTCTCCCAGTGATATCTGTAGGGACAGCTCTATTGCCCTCTAAAGGCCCATGCTCATGCACCAGTATAAGAGGCGCTGCTGGCTCTGTGCCCCCATTCCTTCTTGCCATCAACTTTGGCAGCAGGGAAGGAGAGCTGGTCATGGAATAGACATGAGCAACACCCCATCTCTAAAAACAACATGGTAGGTTAGTAAAAGTCTTTTCTTCAAGTGCTTGCTCATGGCTATTCCATGTCAGGTGACTCCCAAGCAGTGCCCTTGGCGGTGGGCTAGGAGTTCACAGGCATGCTGATTACAATACAGCTCTCCCAAAACTGATGTCATCCCTGGGTTGTGTGTATACAGGCCAGGGACCGCAATGTGGCTCTGGAGTCTTAAGAGCATGCAGCTATGTGTCCGTCTGGTCCAAAAATAGCGAGGACCCTTCAAACAGAAGGTCCTGCACCTCCTGCGACAGCCCTGACAACTGCAGCCATGAGCCTCTCCTCATGGTGACCGCTGACGCCAATCGACCTAGCAGCTGAGTCTGCCACATCCAAGGCAGCTTGGAGGGAGGTTCTAGCCACCGTCTTTCCTTCCTCCACAATGGATGAGAATTCCTGCTGCACAACTTGGGGCAGTGAATCCTTAAAATCAAGCCATGGAGTCCCAGACACTGACATTTTATTGTCCCAGCAGCACATGCTGGTTTGCAATATGTAATTGGAGGCTTCCAGTAGAATAAACCAGTCTACCAAAAATGTTCAAGCATTTTGCCTCCTTGGTTTTTTGGGTAGCACTGGCTTGGTCCTGCCTATTGCGCTTGTTGGCTGTGGCGACCACTAATGAACCTGGGGGTGGGTGAGAGTACATGTATTCATACCCACTTGTGGGCATGTGATCTTTTCTGTCTGTTTAGAAGCTAAGTGAGGGCAGAGATGCGGGAGTTTGCCATCACGTCTTCACCATTTTGAGCACCCCTTGGTGCATACGCAGAGCCACCTTCACAGGAGCCACAGCTGCCAAAATATCAAAGATGGGGTCTGCAAGCTCTTTGGGCTCCTCCATCTCAAGGCCCAGATTGGAGTGATGCTCTTGAGGCGCTCCTCGTGGGCTCCAAGATTATTGTGGGGTACAGGGTTAATGGGCCACACGAGTGTCTCATCTAGGGAAGACAAGGATGAAGCAACTGGTGGGGGAGTGGCTGGATCCACAGTCTTTTCCGGGGCCCCTTCAATTAGGAGTACCATGGGGTTCTCAATGCCACACTCCAAGTCCAATGCAGGCTCCAGTACTGGCTGAGATAGGGCCACAGATACCCGCTCAGAGGTCACCACCAACAGGAGGTTGCAAAAACCAAAACACTGTCTAGGTACCACTGGGAAACCCCCCCCCCCCCCATGTATTCCAGTACTGCCGATGCACTGGCCATTGTCCTGGGGCCCATGGATGAACCGGAACCAACATCCATCTGGTAAGCTGGGCAATGATGCCTCTTCCAAGGTGGTGCTGACTCTCTTGAAGTCTGACGAGGATTCCTTGTACAAGGGCCACGGCAGTACTGTTGCGCCTTCTAACCAGCTACAATGGGACTGCAGGGAGCAAGGCTTCAATACCAGGGAATGACTGTGGAGGCTCCAGTGAGTGGTGCCGGAGCTTGCATGAGCAGTGCCATGCAGCTGGAGAACAGAAACAGATCTCTGGCAATCAGTGCCTGGAATCCAGTGAATGGCGTTGAGGGGATGGAGACCAGAGCTAGCCTTCTATGCCAGAAGAAGAGAGAAGACTGTTCCAGCAACTGTCATGGGTGGTAAGAAGGAATTGAGAGGGTACAGGGGTGGCAGTGCTCCTTATACTGGCACATGAGCATGGGCGTCCAGGGACAATAGAGCTGGTCCTACAGATACCACTGGGAGGAAAAGAAAACTCTGGCAATGGTGCACACAGCGTGCAAACACAACATGGAATGGATGTGAACAAGCACTTAAAGAACTTTAGTTGCTCTGTGTATGGTCAACCAGCAGGAACTTTGGTGTCTATAGTTAGGGAGTATAAATGGAGATTTAGAGGGTCTTAATGGTGAACTTAAGTGCCTAAAATGACAGTGAGGCACCCAAGCCTGTGGATCTAGCTCTATGCCCCCTTTTAAGCTCTAAAAATTAGTAGCCTAGTTTAAAAACCAAAACCAACCAAAAACCAAACACACCACACAACATCCAGAAGCAAGCACTAACTCCAGTGTTGGATGCTCAACACTTTTGAAAATGTAGCCCTTCATTCAGGTGCCAAAATACAGGTTTGGGAGCCTAATTTAAAAACTCACTTGTTAAATCTTAGCCTATAAATGTAGTATACTTTTTTTTGAGAGTGTACAGAAGTTCACTTATATACAGACAATACACAAGGATGAATATAAACAGCTTTAAATATAATGGAGTACACATAAGACACTACATCTAATGAGAACGAAGATGCCACTAGCACTATTTCTGTGTAGTTGCAGAGACAGCTTTCTAGAAGGAACAGGCTAAGACAAGACCAATACTTGGCATCTTCAGCTCCACCCTTAGAGGCACTTCTGCATGCTAAAGCAAGTGTTTGTCTGCCTTTTGCTGTAGCAACTCCAAGGCCAACTCTGCACACACCTGCACTGCCAAGGCCTGTTCTTCACATACCTCACAATTCAGATTGTCACAGAGATTGGTAAATCAATACAAGAGATTATGTACTCCTGTGATACCTGAACAATGACTGAAGTGCAATGTGAAAGATAAATAGCTCACATAGTAGCCTTCTTTTAGAGATTTTTCTTATGGCTTTGGCATGCATATAGTATACTAACTAATGCAAGTTAGTTCATAGGAGAAGCATGCGATAAGACATGTTTTGCAGTAGAAATAATTAGAATCACTTGTGCCCCCCCATCACTTTATAAAGCAAAAAACATTTGCCCCCGCCCCCCCCCCCCATCAAGCTATCAAATTACTTTTAAGTCTAAATTTAAATCGGTTAAAATCTGCTTCCAAACTCTGATCACTCATGGACTACACCTAATTTTATTAATTTTCTGCTCCTAGTAACTGTTTTCCAGTTATAAATTAATTGTAGTTCCTTCAGAAGGTGCATTGGGATATGCTACTCTAGCTTTATAAAATGGGCAAGCACTAAAGTCTGCAAATATGAAGGGCATATGACTGTCAGTAAGAGGAAAGGAGCAGCTGATGTGAAGACAGCAAACGGCTATTACACATGCAGTCATAAACACGCTTCTATTCAGGTGAAGCTGGAGTAGAGAGTTTCATTATAATTTCTACTAGGAGCAATGCCTGTGACTAGCATCAGAACCAATCCCTGAAAACTGTCAATTTAAAATAGTTAGAAACTTGGCCAACTTTTAATGGGGATTTGTTTTAGAGGTTTCCATGTGTGCATGACTGAAATCAGAAGTAAAACGTTGTAATTTTAGTGGCCATTGTACATTCTTAGCTTCTCTTTGTATTATTTGAAACAAAAATTAATCATGCTGTGATTGTACTTGCTATGACTTATCCACAGAAAATGTCAGCATGATAGATACAAAAAGACAAACTTTAGTTCCTGCCTCAGAAAACATTTGTCAAGTTAGTCTCTTCCCCCCTCATAAATTAAACTATGTCCCAGCTCTTTGTGGGCAAAGATGATGTTGGGGTTACAGATAACCTGAAAAACAAAAAATAATTACTGGAGCATGTATGCAAAATGTATTGTAATTAATATGTTTCTTCTCCCCACACAAGTTTTTATATAGATAAAAACAGGCACTAAGTAGTATACAGTATTTTTCCCTAAATGCTATATAGGAGTGGTTATGCAATTTTCACTATAAACATTGTGACAAGAAAAAAAAAAGAAACCACTATAAAATGAAGGAAATCTAGCATAAAGATATCACTTAAAAAAAAGTGAATCACTTTTCAAATGTAAAAGCATATGATTTAAGTGTACTTTGAGTAATGAACAACAAAATGTAATACAGATGTTTCTACTCAGATTTGAAATCAAACTGAATAGGCAGCCTCTGTTACTCACTACAGAATTAGGGAACTGCTATGACTGACAAATAGGAGGCCTGGTTTTCCTCTCACATATACATATGTGTCTCACACCAGTGAGAATCTGTTGACTTCAGTGAAGTTATTCCTTATTTACACCAGAACAGGTGAGAAGGGAATGCAGTCCAGGGCATATTAGAATGAAAGGAATATATCCAATTAACTTA